GAGGCGGTATATGTTCATATGTTCCCCCGCGCATGTATGGTCATTTTTCGGCTCCCATCGATCCTGCCGCACCGGTTTTCTCAACCTCGAGCTAGCGAGGAGCATTGCGTGGTGAAAAAGCACATATCAACAATCACAGAGGTACTTGCCCGAAAAGTCGTACTGGAACGGGAATCGAACCACGGTCTCCCCCGCATGCCAATCTACGACCTAGCCGACTGAGCCACCGCGCGCTCAAGGGGAGTATAAATATTCCGTAACAATCACAAGAGCGCTCGGGTGTTACGGAAATCCATAAACAGCCAGCAGCGATTCGTCTTCGCGTGTATACATCTCCCTTAAAACGTAGACGAGCCGAGACTAACAACGAGTACGTGGAAATCACGGCAAAGGTAATTAACGTCAAATCATATTATGTGTGTGTAATCGTACAAGTTGGGGACGCGTTGTATAACATCCGCGAAAGGATTATACATGTATATAGTGCGTGGAGCGATAGCAGCTTCGTGTAAGTGGTTCAACAGCGTCGTGGTTTTGTCATGCGCCCCAACATACCCTCGACTGGCCCGATTCCGCGCAAACTTCTTGCAAAGTGAATGCCACGTACCTATTCGTACGCGTTAGCGCGAGCATGTAAGTTTCTTGCCTCGATGGTTCTTTGGCGCACAATTAATTGGGAAGAAACTTCTTGCGAATGGGCAATTAAAGTGGGACGGGGGGGGGATGTACATCCGTTATTATGTAATACGGAGCTCCGGGGTCTCGAGACTGTAAAGGTACATTAGACGCTTTTTTGATCGAGCAGCTCCCAATCCTCCGGAGCAAAGATTACAACTGTCGCAAGTCAGGGTTGACGTCTCGAAATTTCACCCCCGGAAGGCCGAGGGTGCGCGTTAAAAAATATTTCATACGGTAGTGCAGTACAAGGGGGGGGGGCAACTACGGTACTCTTTGTTAAGCGGCAATGAGGTATGGGTATCGGTGAAGGAGAACACAATTGAAATAACCATGGGGGTCTTACGTCGTGCTCGTGCATGATTCACCGGGCGAAATGAGTGTGCGCGAGAGAAGCAGCATCCTTTCGCGCGGTGCGCTGTATATTCGCCGAGAGGCGCGATCGATTTCCCCCCCCCCACCCCCGGGGCTCGAGGATGACCCCGCCCGAACAAAACCGGAGCGCCGCCGCGAGGGAAAACTCGGCTGATACACCCCACCCCTTGCTACTCTCTTGCCCTCCTCGTTGCACTTGTGAACGCCGCGCCGATGGTATACCCATCACGTACCCATATGTGCGCTTGTTTGTCGACACGGAGGACAGAGGGAAAATTGCGCGTACGGCCGTCTGTGTATTTATGGCCCGGAGGTGACATTTCGGAGATTGCGCAGGACGATTCGATTACCATACGGGGGCTATTCGTCGAAAGTGCGCTTCGGAGATTTTTTTAATCGGGGGTACTCCCTTGGATCGGAGCGTCGGTGGGAAAATTAATTTTTTTTTTTTTCCAAGCTTATCTTTCACTCTTTCTAGCTACCGATTCACGTGGCGACCCAATTTCGGTATTTTCAATCAGCATCATTTTATTTGCAATCGCCGCGTAATATCACGTGAACCACCGGCGTAAGGCCCTCATTTCGAGTATATTTTTACCAAATTGAGCGGAAGATCTTGATAGAGCAGAGCAGGTGAAGTTTTATGTTAAAAAAAAAAAAAAAAAAACAGGAAAAGTAGAGATGAAGCAGGACCACACGGCACTCCGTTCCGGGCGACGAGGAGCTCGGGCGCGGACGTTTTATCTGGGTCATCGGGTCGACCGGTGCGAGGTATATATTCTTTTGCGGTTTGATTGTTTCGCGGCTCCGCTCGGTTTTTCTTTCATTACAGGATTACAAAAATAGGTATTGGCGCTACCCCCCCGCGCTCTTTCGTGCAAAACCAAGTTTCGATGTGTGCATAGGTACGGCTCACGGGCCGTTACAATTCGTGATTAACGGCCAGAGGGATGAGGGGGCTGCTTGTAAATCAGGGCTCCGGTCGAGTGTGAACGGCCGGACGATTTGATTCGTGAAATCGTATTACTCGCGTTTTGATGATTACCCTTTACGTCACTACTGCTGTTACTCGCATGAATTGTTTGTCCACATATATTTTATGATTTCAATGGAGCATGTATATAATGCGCCGCTCTGTTAAACACGCGCTTGTACGTGTACAAAGTTGGATGGTCGTAAAAGTCGTGATATAAATTCGTATACGCGTGCTCGAGAATGATATAAAACGAGGGTGTGCGAAAGAACAAAACAAAAAAAGCTGGGAAAAGTTCGCGAGTTGACGTATACGTATATATGCGTCCTCTACAGTTAGGGGGGGGGAGGAGTTTAAAAAGAGAAAACAATGTCGGGTGGAGAAAAAGTCTCCCGGCATCGAAAACAACATTTCGAGAATTAGGTGATGGCTGCGTCACAATCTCTTCTTGTGAATAACCACGTCGTATCGTACAACTGTCACGGGATCGTTTTGTTATTTTATGCGATAAAAAAAAAAGTTGGTGTACTATCTTTCGAGCTTGAAAACTTGGAAAAGTGCGGGTGGTCCAACCAAGTGACGTTATTGGCCAAAAAATCTACGTAATATGCCTACAAGGGTGGAATTTATCCATATTAATTTTTACATTCCTGATTAGTCCTATACACCCGGAGTGAGGCATGATTGGCACGGTACCTATATTATTTTTTAAAGAAAGTTGTGGTGGCGGTCGTGCCCCATCCTCCCATCATATAAGTGCACTTATGAGAAAACGAAAGAGAAGCTCGAGGCGCGCGCCGTGTGTGGGCTATGTATAGAAAGAGGAGTATGGGTTAGTTACACGAGGTGGACGAGTGGATGAGTAATATATAAAGCCGAGAGGGGGGCACTCTCATACGTATGCATGCGGCCAAAGAAGAGCGAGAATTCGTGCCACGCGTCGCTCGAGCTTGACAAAGCTCATTAATACCGATCTTCCTAATGTGTCCCGCATCGCTCTCGCGCGCCCATCTATATACACCTACACGTAGCGGTCACATTACCTACCGGCAAGCCGGGATTACGGGACTTGTGGGCTCCACGGGAATCTCTAATCCGCGTGTATACGTACGGTATCACCCCCATCCTCCAAAGCATCGGGAATATAAGCTATTTTGGTGGAAAAAGTTGATAAACTCGGCCCGAGTGGGATTTCACGGGGATTTGTGCCCACGTACGCTGAGAGCATCGCTTCGATCACGAGTGAAATGATTTGGATTAGTATACATACACACATGCATACGTATCATGGCGACAGACGAGAGAAAGACTGCGGGGTTTTTTCTTCACGATCTACGTGAGTTATCCGACCAAATCGGGGTTTTCTTCATTTGAGATTCATTGGGTTGCCAGAGTCTTGTTGTTTCAATATGCAATATCGAGATTCCATCACAAATACCAGTTTCTTTTTTTTGGTAGAATCTCCTGTTTATCTTTTGCGTGCCCTCGTTTCCCGTTATCCCGTGTATGGAGCATCTTTGTAGAAGACGAGTATGAAAAATGGACTACAGGAAGGTAAAAACCGAAAAGATGTTGCCGAAAAAAAGGGAGCGAACGAAAGAAAAAAAAATGGGGGGGGGAAAGCACTCTCTGTTTCACTTTGGTTTTTTGTCAGCTCAAGGTATCTCTCCATGGGGTGGGGGGGTTTTTTCGTCGGCAGCGCTGGGCTGACGTTTACAAGGATTTATAACCGAGCTCGTTAATCGGCGTTACAGGCGAGGTCGTTTAGCCGCTGAAAGCTCCGTCGCGGACGAGCGCATAATATGAGCTTACGCGCGTGGAAGCACCGGAGGGTGGGGGGGGGGGCAAGTTTGACTGACGCGAAGGGGGACCGGAGAGAAGGAGAAACTCGAGTGTATACGTGCCACGAAGCAGGTTTTTTTTTTAGCAAAGATTTTTCGAGTATGGTAAAGTTGAGCTCTTTTAGTTTTTCATGTAATAAAATAAGTCCACAAAGTTATTTGTCCCTTTGGTGTCCGACGCGACCATAAAAACCTCGGGGGCGTTGGGATGGACTGTTTTTCATAACCCACAAAATTAAAATAAAAACACGGAAACGAGGGAGGAGGTGGCAGTGGAGAGTAGGTGCGGAATGGGTCAATTGAGTGACGAAGCCAGGAAGTGACCCAGAAAAGACTTTTTTTTTTTTCTCCTTGCGCACTAAGTTGTATTGGCAACGACTCGGTCGAGCTAATGGAGTTGCCCCGCAACTCTCTTTCGATAACTCCTTTCCCTCGCGCACATTTCCTCTTTGCTTTTGAAATTTTCAAAACTGCCCCATATCCCGTGGTCTTGCGGATACGGATGAGGCCACTTCGCAGAAAGATTTATCCGCTCCGCGGTGAAAAATAAGCTCGTGGAGGAGATCGGGAAGAGGCGCTTTTATGCTCCGGCCGTCGATGAAACATGCGGTGGGCTCGATCTCCGCACGAAGGAGACTCGAGGTATAGGTATTGTGCGGAGGGGAAAATCGATATCGCTCCGGGCGGTGGCCAATAATATTTCGAAAATTCACAAACTCCGTTTGACCGGCACAACTTTCGGACCAGTTTGATAACGTCCGAACAACAACAACTACATCGGCTCGGAAGCTATGAATTTTCCGACTCAAACTCCCTCCCGAGGCATAAATAATGGACGTGCGGTCATTTTTACTTTGATACTATACGCGGCAATGCTTGGACACTGTGCAAATATACAGTTAAACTGTGGTAAACGAAATACGAGTGAAAATATTGTGGTGTCTCGCTTGACGTCGCGGCGTAGCTTCACATTAAAAGTTACCCCAGTTTTTTTCTCCGTGTACATAAAAGGAAGATGAAAAAAAAAAAAAAAAAAAAAATCCAATAAGGCCTTTGCAACATCTCCTTTCCTCACAGAAATATGAAAAATTAGATAAGGTACTCAAGAAAAATGAAACTCCGGTATGTATACTCACCACCGATAGGTTGAAACCTCGCCAGTGGGTCAGAGAATTGCCGTAGCCTTTCCGTCACGTACTGCGGGGAACCGGCACTCTGTAACATATTACACATAAATCGCGTATATTTGTACACGTGTACAGGGAGTGAAATTCATTTAGATTGCGCTAAGGCGTGCTCGGCATTGCAATTGTTGGAGATGGTGAAAAGTCATTTGTTTCAATCATACTTTTACCTTTGCACACGAGTTGGGATGTTATTTTTACTTTTGGAGCCATCTCGTGTGCGAGCAAAGCCCAGATAAACAGTTCAAACATGACTTTCTATACCTTTGTTTCGTCCTGAAACGCATAGAATTGAAAAAAGAGTTTCAAATTTTTATTTACGTATTTCATTTGTGAGTTAATTTAGCCCAACGCCTCTTGTACGAGAGGAAAAAAGCTCAATAAATGAGTTTAATTCGAGGTTTTATTGCATTCATTGGTAGAGGTGTGCATGAAATGTCTATTGGTTCTTTATTTCAAATCAGTCGAATTTTCGATAAATACCCATTTATGTGTGAAAACAAGGCTTATATTTTAGCTGATCTCTTGACCGTAAAGCATTAAAACACGACTCACTTTGCTCTTCCTAAACCTGTAAGGTAAATAAGGTATCTTTCTGTCCACCAATAAAATCGGTACTAATGAAAATGTATAAAAAATCGATTTCAACTAAAATTCCGATCGAAAGCCCAACTATAACGATCAGCATATAATACTCAACCCCGATAATAGCCAAATACGCCAGAAAACGACTCGAGCAGTAGTCGACCGCGATTATTCCAATCGGTCGACCTCGATATCAGCTTTAGAGACCAAAAGCACGAATGCGAGCGAAAAATCGAGAGCGCACTGGTATATATATATATAGCGTGTAAGTCATAATGTGCCACACCGCGGCACGTATATATAGGTAATGCGTGGCGGTATACCTGCAGTATATCCCTATATAGACGTAATCACCTAAAATTTATGCTATCGATTACACTTTGTTAAAGAAAGAAAGAAAGAAAGAAAGAAAGGAAGTGCACGGTATACGAGTGACACGCGATACGAACCTTATTACCCCGGGATTTGTAACGCGGTGTTTGACGGTCAAAGGTCAAGAATTCGGGTCACTGCCTCTGCTTTTCATGATGTGCTCAGCCGCGCGCATCACCAACATCATCATACAACACAAATGCAGTAAGTAGTGCACTTTATGCACGTGTTGGATTGTACACACCTACATAATTATGTAAGTATATGCTACAAGAGTGCTTGCACCAACAAGTACACGCGGAGGCGCTAGTCAGCTCATTACGTATACCCAAAGCGTTGCCGCCGTCTCTCGAGCTGCGCGCTGATTTTAACGGCGTTTTGTGTGCGCTTGCAGGGCAAGTAAGTTGCTGTCGCTTGTTAAGCACAGACGTCGAATCTCGCAGGAGTCACCGCTTTGGACGTTTTTAGCAATTATAACGCGAGAAACGACCAACCCGAATAATTGCACATCGGTGTGGGATGCTTTTATCTCGGTACACGACATCCCAACAACTGTAGTTTTAATCTGCGTAGGCTTGGAACTCGCGAAATTCCCCGTGGACGCGGAAAGTTAAAAATTCAACCATTAAACCGCGCGAGCAATCAGCGTTATAGAGATGCACCAGACTATTAATCCGATGGCATCGCGTGAATGTAACATTAGCCCCAATCAAGCCCCGATCGTCCAGCTCGACGTTTACCGATGAGTAAATACATGTACACGTTGTGCTATTCCATGATATGAATATATTACATACACCAAGGGAGCTCTATTCTCGTCGAAACTCTGATGTACATTGTGTCGGGGGGGACGCGTAATAATACCCCCTTCCGCTTCTCTTTGCCTTATACATTTCCCTTCTACCATGATACATCTCTGACTCCGGCAAAACCCGAGCACTTGGATTGTCTGGATGCGCACACACTCTTGTAAGTATAACAGCTGCACATTAATTTATACATCATGTGCAGGTATGTATACCCGAATGCAATTGCCGCGGGAGTACTTGGAAAATGGTCACGGTGTATACGAATGTGGGCGTGGGTTGCCTCTTTTTCGCTTTGCAAGTATAATAAGTATGTACACCTCACACTCACCGATGTGCCGCCTCCTCCTTTTGTATATACAGCTCTCGTATACGACCATCGCGGGACTCCTTGTATCATCCCTCCTTCCTCCCCCCGCCTTCGCACACTCGACTCGTTTATTGCATTTGCATATACTTATTGCCCTGCCTTTATATTGTTATTGTTACTTCGGCTGGTTACAGTATACTTTTGCAGCTTCGTTAATTGCCCCATGTCCCTATACGTGATGATGCTATACACTGCTCTTGGCTTCGAGCAATTGCTAACATCAAGTTGCCCTACATGGTTTTATCGAGGGGACAAAGAAACAAACTAGTTTTTTTACTGGTACAAATGTCTTGGAATACAAGAGAACCGAGAACTTTCCCTTATTGGAGATTATTACACTATCCTTGTTCTCCGTTGGGCTGATAATATATGGGTCAACTGCATACATACACATAATTAAATGTATTCGTCTGACGGGGGAGGTTTTCGATTTATTATTTCCTTATCGATTCGAGGCTTCGTAATTGAGTATCTCTGAGCCACGGATCAGGAGCGAATTAATCCCTCGACAGGCTGTCTTTGGGGAGATTATAATCAGTTAGAAAAAAAAAAAAATAGGTCCAACAGCAAGGCCTAAGACACTAGTATATAGTCGCCTATACTCTCGAACCAACGCCGAGCAACGACGTGTTTTGATTGTGAAAGAATGAGAAGGGCTACATCGTTTCCGTATGCAGTGCGCACACAATGACAACATATAGCTACCCATAGTGGGGTAAGGCTCGTGACCTTGCCTCCGCGTGAAAACGAAGCGAGAAAAATAAAAGCGCGGTAGAGGGGCGAAAATGAGTATAGCCAAGGAGGAAAGAAAGAAGAAAAAAGAGCCGGGACGGAGCACGTGTTTAGCACGTGCGCTGCATCATTTTCGCGCTACGAGGAAGCGGCTGGAGGAGGGGGGGGGGGTGAGAATCGAGACAAGAGGCATTAGCGGAGCTCGGAAAGAGGGTGCTAAGTGGCTACCGTTTGACTGCTAAACAGTTTACGAGTAATTTTTTTTTTTTTTTTTATTCAACCCCCCACGGGCGAATTGCATCTCCGATTGAAGCGTGCCGTCAAAAAAAAAAACAATTGCTTTTCTGCCGAATTCCTTAGCACGAAACGTCATTTGTTTCGAGCCCGCGAGAGAATATTGCCCTCCCAAACTCATGGTCATAAAACGCACCGGATATCGAGGGGGTAAAGTGCTCGGAGGTATATACCGTAAAAGTAAGAAAAAAATGAGGGGGATGGGGTGTATAGGCCGGCAGATGACGTATTGTCGATTTTCTCCGAACGTGGGGCACAAAGGACCTGCAGCCAGGACGGACGCGCGAAAATAGGTCAAACATGCGTGTTCAAACGGATGAGAGGTACACGTACTAAATACACCGAGCCAAAGGAGGGAGGTATAAAACTTTCGACCCGCTCGTGCGGAATTTAATCACGGAATATCGTTGTATGTGTATACATGTATACGTATATGAATAACCCTTGTTCGTTCGATGTTCGACGCGATAGGTGGTAAAGCACATGTTGTGTGTCCAGGGATACACGTATATATATATATATATATATATACCATGAAGCGGACGAGCGAGGAATTATTGAAACGAGAGCCGTAAAGTTATACCCCCCGCCGATGTATGGAGGCGTTTGCGTTTCGATCGATTGGCATACCTGTACGCCCCGCCAAGGCATATTTTTAATTTTCCCCCGAGGGGGTAAGGGGTTATTGATGGCGCTCATTTTTAACGACCGCTCGCCGAGTGGGCGCCAAAGCATAAACTAGGTCGGATTTGCGGATTATTAAACTCGAATTCAAGCGGTGGTTTTGATCACTCACTCAATGGGGACGCTTACCATGCCGTGGAGGGCGATCCGTTTTTGGGACGAGCCAGTCGAGGCGGAGGCGCCAGGCTCGCAGTTGTCCTGCAACAGTGCCTCGAGACTCTCGATGTAATCGATCGCGTTGCGCAGGATCTCGACCTTCGGAAGCCGCTGGTTCGGGTTGTCGCTCGTCCGCCTCTTCAGCACCTCGAACGCCTCGTTCACCTTCGAGCATTACCAACCAATGAACCTTTTATTTTTATTTTGCCCCCCTCCATCGAGAAGCCGTCGTGCCCCCACCTTGCGCAGCCGGCGTCTCTCCCTGAGGGTGGCGGCTTTCCTCCGGTCGACGGTGACGGTCTTTTTCTTGCAAGCCTTGCACGCCCAGAGGAGACAGGGCCTCTGGCCGCACTCGGCCGTGGAGCCGCTGTCCGGGGCATGGAGGGCCGGGTGGGGCACGTGGCGCTCCTCCGCAGCTCCGGTGCACGGGGACTCGAGGCCGCTGCTCGTCGTCGTTGCCGCCGAGACCACCGAGTCGCCGTCGTCGTCCTCCTCTCCATCCTCCTCGTCCGTGTCAGTCTGGTAATGCGGCTGACGCGCCCTACGGACAAAGCCGATTAATTTCGGTCAACGGGAAAATGTACGTATATGGAAGCAGGAGAGGCAAAGAGGGTGTACACGAGTCCAATTGTCTCGTTTCAATGGCCGAGCATTCGGGTCTCGTCCCTTGATCTCTACGGATTACCGATGCATTCGCCCCACCCCCGGATCGCGGTTTGCGGCGGGCACTAGATGGTCGCTCGATGCCGTTTGATCCATTTGTCGGGCGATGGGGGAAAGAACTCGGAAGCTGTCTCCTCTCTTTCTCAAAAGTGTCGAGTTGGCCGAGGACGTCGTTTCGCGTCAAGGTGGACACCCTCTCTGCCTCTGAGTATGAGGGGGGGAGGGGGGTGTGAGCGACGCTAACCCAAAGTGATCGGTCCGATAGTGGGCCGCGGCCTCGGGCGCGTTACCCCTGCCCGGCGAGCCAAGGTAGTCGAGCTCCGGGGCTCGGTGGTGCTGTCCTTCCCGATCGTGATGGCCTATTGGACGGGGCGCTTCCCGGGGTGACTCCTGGTGAGGGTAGTACGGCTGCTGGTAGTGGCGCGGTCGCTGCGACAGATTTTACAAATTCGATTTCGTCGCCTTCGGAATTCGTTATGTACCTACGTGCCACTGTAGCTCTTTGACGGCTGATCGAGTTGGTTTGCCTTTCGGCTTGTAAAATCTTGGTTGATTGGACAGGATGGGTCAGGGAAATCAGTGTGAATAAAGTGTCAAAGAGCTACCTTGTGGTACCCCAAACGAGGATAGATACTAACGACCACGTGCTGCTGAGGTAGGTGGTGTTGGTCGTGTTGCCGGGGGATGTTGTCCCCCTGGTACACCGAGACATCCTGGGGCAGGTGGTGGCTGGGGTAAGCGCAAGCAGAGCCACGCTGGCCGAGGCTGTCGTACTGCTGCAGGTAAGTCCCGACCTCCGACATCAGAGTCATCATTTCCGTGCTCGGGACTGCGCCGCTGGTGGTTGTCGCGGTCTCAGCATCAGTCGGGACGTCCCTCTCACCGCATCGGGGGCATCCGCGGTAACGGCACAACAACTGGAAGCTGCACTCAACAACAACAAGAACAAACCAACCAACCAACGGAGCACCACTAAAACTATGCAACTGTACCCGATGGGATCGACGGGTCACGATTGCCGGTCACGCGCTCGTCCGACTCTCATCCTCCGAGTTTGAGGTCAGAGTGTCGAGTGAGCCCACATGTGCCCGCGTCTCTCGCCTCGGCTGGCTTGCCTTCTCTCGTTTTCTTTATTAGCCTTTTTATTTATTTTTTTCTTCTTTTGACAAGAGCGAGAGATGGAGATCGTGGTGTGGTAGGGGGGGGGGACGCGGTCCTGCCAAACGCGTGTTATAGGTGGGGTGGGGGGAGACGGAGCGCGTGACAGTGACAGAAATACCGATTCAGAGGCGACCCCTACCAGCTCCGGCCCGCTGGGTAACTCCTCCTCTTTCTTCACGCCTCGGTTCGCTCGTCTCCTCTCTCCGCCTCGTTCTACTCTCTTTTCCCCCTCGCGCCATAATTCTCGATGTTTCACCCCGAGACGAGATAAATCGCGAGCCCGAATTAATTTTGGTATCGCCCCGACGTTATGCAATTGCTTATTTCCATCCATACGTACACGTACAACTCGTCAAGTATTGCTCTCGAGAGCCTATTTTTTTTTTTTTTTTTTTTTTTTTTTTTTACACTTTGTTCGCGCGATTGAGTTACTTTCTATAAATAAAAGCGAATGGCCGCGGAAAGAATTTTAATTGATATGGCGCGAGACGACCGAAAATTTATCTCCCCCCCTACCCCACCCCCCGCGATTATAAAGCACGACGCGCGCTTGACCACTGGAGCTTTAAATAGCCGATCCGGGCGCGAGTTGATGGATGGCCGCCATGCATCAACCCCCTCCCCCCCGGTATTTTATCGCATCGCTAATCAAACGGTGCAAATATGATACGGGGGGCGCGGGGTAAATGTGTCTCAAAGTTCGCTTTGGATAGGAGGGGGGGGGGGGCAAAATAACAGATTCCACATTTGGAAGGTAAAGGAGCCGACTCTTACGGCGGCATCCGGTAGCAGCTGAATAGTGAAAAACGTCGTCCCGTGTGAAGTGTATTCATTGGATGCGCGGCACGGAAAAACCTCTTACTCCTATCCGCATATCTCTCAAGAGTGCCTCCCCCCTACTGCAGAGCGGCGCGTGCACTCGATCGCGTATACACACTGCACGCGGGAATATCCGATGGAAATCCGAGACTATGGTGTATAAGTACACCCGAGCGGGGGAGTATGTAGGAAAATACGATCGGACACGTCCTCGCCCACTTGAGAGCGATAAAATAATGGCCATGGGGGGAAAGGGAGGGAACGTGCCCCGGGTGTATAGGGCTTGAAAATCAACTGCTTCTCGAGGAGCCAATTGACGCGTCGGTCCCGGAAGTAGCGTGAGCGATGGATGGGGCGTGGATGCCGATGCGTAACTCGTGTATTGGAACAGGAGGGGAGGAAACGTGAGAAATGAAAAAAAAGTGCCAAAAAAGTGCCGATTCTCGGAGACGAGAAGGAATATTTTGATGCTATATGAGCTGCTTGCAAAAGTTTCGGATTTTTTCGAATCGAGAGGATTTTCTTTGGGATATTTGTAATTGGGGATTCGTAGGTGTACCTTAACGAATGTGTGATTTGAAAACGTCGGTTTTATTGGCATTCGCTGAAAAAATAAAAATCCCATCATTGGTACGTATCATAGTGGGTTGACTGTCGGAGCTCGACGTTCGTCTTTCAAAGGCAACGACGGCTCCTCGGTGACTTTAATTCCAACGCGCAGCTCCAGTCCAATTTCACGTAGCTTTGAATAAAATTCGCGTCTACAAGAGAAAACCAGTGGTAGGTAATAAGAACCAAGTAATAATGGCACCTTGTACTGCTGTTGCATAAAAGTGCTCTTTGCTGGTGTGGGTAAAAGTACCCTTTGCTACCTTGGGCGCGGAATAAAAAAAAAAATGTTTGTTCCTGCGAATCGAAAGTAAGGCAATAGCGCCACATTTGACTTTTAACAGCCAACGGAGCCAAAGTAGTTTCTGTATATTTATCACCGGGCGTCGACTTTAGAAATCCATATCCGGTGCAGGGACAATATGGGGTCGCCGACGGAGAGAAAGAGAGAGGAAGGAAGAAGAGCACAAAGAGAAAACCAATCGAACCGACCGCGGCACTTTGAGCTTTATATACGTCGTGCACTCGATTAGAAGCGTCTCTTTTTCTCAGCGCGGGTCTGTTGGTATAAGAGCCCATTTCCATCTTGCTACCAGGGTAGCCCGGTCCTGTACTTTTTTCATTTAACGGTGAAACTTTTGTCTCAAAAAAACGCGCAAAGGAACACTTTGAGGCTCATTTCAGTTGAGATGCTCATGCACTGGATTTAATATCGGTAATCGCGCGTGACTTGTGAAACTATCATCGGAACTGCTTCCGAAGACGCGATTTTGTACCTCCGTTATACGTCACGTGCATCAACTATTCCTGTACAATATCGAAAATTGTTGAAAGTTTATCGGTCAAATTGGTTGGCAGTTAATTTTCCGTGAGGTAATTCGAGTTTTATATTACCTCTCCTCCAAACTCAATAAGAGCATCTAACGGATACAGGTCTATTTTGAGCGAGAAAAATCTCTCAAGTGCAGTCGACGATGATGAAAAACACTCATCTACTTCTACGTGCATCCACGTTTTTTGTCACTTTATCGGCGTGGAGTGTCGTAACGAGGGGAATGAAATGAATACTCGCTGGCTCGTGGAAACGACAGAAATCCGAAAAGTGATTAAATGATAATACCCCCAAGCGCGCCAATGCGCTCCCGAGCGAGCTATTTTTCCCGATCGGGTGTCGTCGCTCGACGGAAAGCCATTTTCATTGCCCCCTTTCATTCTCTTCTTCTTTTTTTTTATCGGATCGCTGTTTTTCGCTCGACGGAAACAATGCACGACAATGGCACTTTTTGTCCATACAATACGAATTATCGTCATTCGCAACGAATTGGAATCCCAGGACACATGTCCACATCGAGTGCTCGACAACATCGATGGCACAAATGTGGAAAATGCGTACACCAACATTCACAGGTGGTGCTTGAAATTAATAAAAATAAATAAAAATTTGATGCAATGATTCGTCACGGATTCTGTCCCGCTGATAAATTAAAACACATTTAGGCTCGACGACGGCAAGTCCGCGTATACACAGCAAATCCGTCGGTGCAGCGTCGACGAACGAAAGCCCGAGGAAAAAGAGCAACTCGCCCAAAGCCGCTCGACGAAATCGCGTGAAAAAAGGGGGGGGAGGTGGAAATTACTCCGAGTTTGCGCGCGCGTACAAACAAACGCGATAAACAGGACTCTCTCGCCCATAAGAGCTGGCTATGAAAAGGAAAAAGAGAGTCTCTCGGGTACAAACAACTTTTGCGGAGCAGGTTGTCCTCGAGGCACAGCGATGTTTGCCCCATCACCTAACCGGAGAAAAAAAAGTGTGCACACAGCTGCGAGCGAACGGTACTTGGGCACGTGTGGATACAGCAAAGAGTTGCGCAAAATCATCCTATAAAGAAGCTCTACGAGCTCTCCCGGCTCCTTTTGCGACACGCTCGTATACATGTACAATACACATGTATCCACTGAAACACAATTAACTTTTCAACAAACCAGTATACTCGAATCGCGTGGGTATGGGGGACAGTGAAAGGAGACCCGTGTGTTATTTCACGAAAAGTGGGGGAAGGGGAAAAACGGCCCAATCGTGATATTGAATATTCTCGGCGCGAAAAGAGCTGCACCAGAAGAGAAGAAGCTCTGGCTCCCGGTGCACCGAGGAGGACGAGGAACCGAGTCGAAGAGATAAGCCGGTGAAAGAAAAAATGAGCGGGCGATAAGGCGATGCTCGCGGGATAAAGGAAGACGCACGTGGGAGGGGGCTGCGGAAACTTGAAAAGAAAGTACTGCATTATGCAGGCAGCGTGTGTAGGGGCACGCCTTTAAGAATAGAGAGAGAAAAAAAGGCGTGGGCCGGGGAGATGGCGAGAGAATTAGAGGGCGCGTTAAAAGATTGATGGGAGGCCGGTCGGGGGGGGGGATAAAGAGTGAGAGTATACGAGGGGGAGAAGCGGATACACATGTACGTGTACAGCACGGGAGAAAGTGAGAGACTTTTGGGGGTAGGGAGGCGCGCGTGTGTTGTACAACAGTAGAGAGAGAGAGAGAGAGAGCAGGTCGACGCGCAAGAGAAACCAGGTCATCCTCTGCTCCGCATCCGCGCGCAGTACACCACCAGTGTACCCGCTAAACACCAGCATCAGCCCTCTCTCTCGCCCCGGGACGCCGCGTCTCGGATCAGCCCCGAAAGAACGGGTGTGTCTCCTCCCACCTCCCTTACTTCTAGGATGTCTCTGTAATTCCTCTCGGTTCGTTCTAGCTGCTTTTGTTTTCGTTCGGGCACATCCCTTTGACTTTTCACCTTGTTTTCATACCGTGGTGTGCCCTTTCGAGCTCCACTTTTCTCATTTTTTTCTTTGCTCTCCCCAGGACTTGTTATGCAAATGTCGTACACGGTAGCTGATGTGCTCTTGTATATATGCTCATGAATATTCACGAGCCTCTATCCCCCTTTGGAGGGGCACGTGTCGGCATTTAATTATTTTTGATGCCGCTAAATCCGAGGCTTACTTGGACGCAGGTGCGAATAATTAGCCCGTGCGGGGATTGCTCGTCTCTTGTCCCCGAAAGGGGCTGACAAATTTGTTTCGCACCCATGACTTTTGGCTGGGTTTCACAGCTCCCTCCGTACTTTGTAATAATGATCGTATAGAGTTCCGGGGCACCACCGTCAATTTTAATTGGCACTCGTTTTGGCAGCCCCAATTTTCTCAACGCCAACTCCAGAGCAATTTGAACCTCTCGAGGAGTCAATTTAACACGGACTTTGTCCACCTCTCTCTTTTCCCGTATAAATACTTTTTTTTTTTTTTCACATCGCTTATCGATTTGCCGCGTTTATCAAGCCCAGCGACCCGACGAGCCAAGCTTTACTCGAGATTTTCCGAAATCCCGGTACTCGGTCAGAAATCCAGCTCGTACCCCCCCCCCCCTGGCTGCTGGTTCATTTTTAATTGAAATGTCAACCAGAGCGCGCGTGAAAAGTCCTCCGATCGCGACACCCATTGGGGGAGAGGGAAAAAGAAAATCCCGATAAAAAACAATTCCGAAAGTAATTTCAGGGAAAACGAACAAAAGATGAGGGAAGAAAGGGGTGCCCGGAGGAAAATGAGTCTGGGGGGGTACGACAAAGGGGAGCCCCCAAATGTGGGGCAATAAAGTGTCACGCGCTCGGTTTGCCCGTTAGGCCATGTGCACCGATGAAAAACAAGGATCCGATTTATGCGCAGGCCGCGGAAATTTCCACTCCACGGAGCGCCGTCCCTCAAATCCAGCCCCCCCCCCTTCTCTCTTTCAAAGTGAAAAATTCACCAGAGGAGGAGAGCCGTCGGCTTGGCGCCAGTTGCACTCGCGTCCGATAAACATTTCCGACTCGCGTCCACGACTTTTTTTCCTACCCCCCCCCCCCACGCAACATCCGCGTGTATCGAGCGGGAGAAAGACGGATGGCTCATTACAGCCCTCCTCCATCATATTTCTCTCCTCGAGGTGGCGTTTGTGGGACGATTAATCTTTGGATGCCGAATTTCTCGGGGCTTTTCCTTTTTTGTCCCTGTCAGCGAGAGGTGGGGGATATCCCCATGTCGCCCCCTAACAGCCCAATGAAACGTATACACGAGCCGCGAAATATTCCCTCACTTCTTTCTCGTGAAAAACGAGTGAATTACACATATACGAGAGAGCGCGTGGTCTTCACCTGTCGCTGGACGTTTCCCTCGGCCGTTCTTTATCCCCATCTCGGGACAGGCAAATGCAACCGTAAGGAGGTTCGGGGGAGTGCGGCGAAGCTGGGGATTAAAACAAAGTAGACAGGGGAAGAAGATCGATCGAGACTTCCTTACTCCTACCCGTCACAGCTAAAAGAAAGACGGGAGGTGTAAGGGGATGATCGGTAAAGCAAAAACGGACATAAGCGAGGTATGCTTTTCGAATTGTTCAGATGCGGTATCCGGAGAGCAACCCCCAAGACCGTCGCTCCGTTGCTGTTTTTTTAATCACAACTAATTCTTCGGAGCGAGAGAGGGTGGGTCCCTCCTGCCCCTCGTCTCGAACGATAAATAAAAAACGCGCGAAGGAGGGTGGGTGGGGGCAAAAGTGACGGGAGAAGAGAGAGAGAGAACACGGTATCGTACGTATACTCGGCGGAGGATGGGCGCGAGAGCCGAGAGAAAGAGCTCTCTCCTGCGCACTCTCCCTCGTGCGGGGGGCGGCAGGAGCCTTCCGTATAGGGTCGCGTGCCGCAGGCTCCGCTGCGGCTCGGGCGCGACAGTAGTTCTGACCCGACTAGCGCCGGTAGCGCTTTCGCGGCTGTGCATCGCGCTCACGAGTCTCCTGCTGGATAAGCCCCCCCCCTCCCTACCTATCGCTACTTACCCGCGCTCGGCCGAGTGACAGGTGAATATTGCCACTGTATATAATACACACTTATATATCATCGGGCTGTATGGTGCACGTATACATATATGTATATTTGCCGTTGTCGTCCTTCGCGTCGTATGCCGTTGTTTTACAGCTTCGATTTCGAGTTGATTGTCTAAATGGTACAATAAAATGAAACAGTAGCTGGTTCCGGTCGTATACGCGAGACAACTCCGCGGCGTGTCCACTGATTTTCGAGCAAACAACTATCATATACACGAACCAACGCGATCAGCTGCGAGTGCTTGTCGGTACACATCCCGAAGGACCAATCTCGCGAGCAAACGCAGCTGATTCGGTCGAGGAAGAAATCGATGCACGTACATGTATAGATATACATATATCCATTCGGGGGGGAATTGCGCGCAATCAACGACAACGGCTGCAGAGAAATTATTCCCCTTCCGCCCGTCTGCCCGATCACTGACTCGTTCTACTTTGAATCGCTCCCCTCCTCCACCCGCGGGAGGAATACTCCTGTGCTGTGCGAGGCAAGGAGCGAAGGTCGAGCGCGTCAGCTGGCGATACCTACCTGCGGTGTATTTTTCTCTCTCTTTCTTTTTGTTTCCCCGAGGTATATGCGCAAGGGGCGCAGCTGTTGTGGTCCCAGTGTCAAGTACAGTGCCCATCAGTGCGGTGTACCCTATGTTTGTGTGTTTGTGCGCGTGTTTACCAATCGTAGCAATAGGTGCGGAGGCTCTTTTGTCTTGAGCGGGACACGCACGGCGTACAGGTAGTCAAGGTCTGTGGCGACCCCTCCTTCGTTATCGCCCTTCCCTTTCACCTTGGCTCCTTAAACTTGAGCTTTCTCCGACTTGGCTGCTGCTGGGAATTTCGATCGGATTTCCTTCGACAGGAGTGGGTTTTTTTGTACTCCGGTCAAAGTGTCGTGTATTTTAGATTATTTTGCGCATGTGGCGAGGGATGATCACGGGAGTGTGAAAATGTCGCTGCGATGCGAGCCGAGAGGTTGAGGAAAAGGAGTGAAAAAAAAAAAAATTGTATTTTTAGCTAAAGCCTAGAGAAGAGAAGGCGTTTCGAGTGCAGTTTGTTTGCTCGCAAACTTTGCTCCGCGCGTATTAACTTGGGCACAAAAGAAGATTAGGTGAGCTTTGTCGGGGGGGTACGTTTTGTTTCTTACGTACACGCGCGCTCGAGTTTGCGAGAGTGCTTCTTTTTTTTTTTCTTTTTTTTTTTTTGTGTAAACATCTTTTTGAAATACTCTGTGTTTGAAATACGTATAAAAAAATTGTTATCAGAAAAGTTTTTTTTTCTTCTCGTTTCTCCTGGAAAAACATACATTTCAACAAAAAAAGTAAAGTAAAGTTATAGAAAGTAATTGAAATGAAACTTTTGTTTTTTATTAAAATTGAATGAAATGATGTTCATATAGCAGGGAAGAGTTGGTTTATTTTTTTATCATTTTGCACAGCACAACATTTTCTGCGATTTTCGTTACGTGAAGTTTTTGAAATTTGTTGCGTGGTATGTAATTTTTCGTTAAATTTTTTAAATCAATATAAAAACAGGTGATATGTGCTTTAGATAGAATTTATTTCGCGATAAATCAAATGTTAAGATGATACGAAAAAATTGCGTGTTACTAACTTGTTAACTTTTTTTTTTTTGTACGAAAAAAATAATTTTTGCAGTCCTATTAAATATTTAACTCTATAAAAAGCGATGTTACAGAATGTCGTGATAAAACCTACTAAAGGAATTTCTACTTGCTCTTCTCTTAAATTTTCTTTTATTTATTATATTTTAACTAAATATTTATTTCAATGGAATTCTCATTTCGCTTAGTGAAATACGTAAATTTAGCTTTTTTTTCTTTGCATCTTGCAGCTGGTTTATGAAAAGTTTTATAGTAATTACTGTTTAAATTTTTATTTTTATTTTCCCGTTATGAAATCAAAGTCATCATGTGCATACATTTTTTCGTACTGTTGCCCTATTTAACTGAAATGTCTAGAAACGCTTACTTCCATTTTGTTTTTTTAATTTCCGGATCTAATTAATCGTTAATTCTTCATGTACCCCAAGGTAAACTTCGTATTCTTTTTGATCCCACCACTAAAAATAAACATCACGAGTATTCTTCACATAAATAAATGACGTAAATAACATACCTATCCAAAAACAAACAAATATTCTTCTTGATAAAAAAAAATTGTGTGAGCATCGTTTCACGTAATTTTAGATAAAAAGTTGTGAAACCCAAACAGTTTCTACTTTGTTGGTCTTCATTGCTTAGTATTAATAGATATTACGTGGTCTCAAGTAATACATGACACGTCAATATCTTTTCATGTATACACAGAATAAGAATCAATTTTGTGTTCTTTGTATAGTACTACGTATGTCCTGACATGGATGAGTTGATAGAACGGAAGAAATCCGAAAATCCCTCAATAAGGTAAAGCACGAGGTTAGAATGATATGTGTCGTATAGGACTACTCAATGTCCCATAAAATGAACCCAATATATCAATACCGAAAAACTTGAAATACTGAAATTCGTATCTTCGAATAATCAATTGTTTTTTTTTTATTTCATCATTCTACCATCATAACGCACACGGCCCATCAAAAATATACAATCGATCCTTCCAAATGGAATCACATCACCCGTTTGAAGGTACAAACTCGAGATAAAAGTAAAAAAAGGCCAGAGATAGGGAGGGAAAAAAGCGCAAACGCAGCAAACCAAATCAAGCCAGCCTCTCTCGGTTCGGGTCAAGTGCAAGTAAGTGTGAGGCATATGCCGTTCGAACGACCCAAGCGGCTAAATATCAGCCAAATGAGCGCGCCGTCGCTGTGTATACACACACGCGTGGCGAGTAATGACGGTGTCAATGAGCCCGCGAATAACGGCCCCCGAGCTATGTCCCGCCCGTCCCCGCCACCTCTGCCGAAAAGAGCCTCTTTCTTCTCCTTTCGACCACCTATACTCCCTTCGGGCGGCGCTTTCCTCCGGAACGGCTTATTCCACCCGGAGGGAAAACTTGCGCCATTCATGCCCCGTCAACGACTCTTTCCGAATCTGTCGCTAAGAGCTTTCCGCACAGCGCCGTCCGTTCGAGGAAAAACTCCTCGTACCTTTCACTTTTTGTGAAAATAGACAAAAAAAAGGGAGCGATTTTTATTGTAAGTAACAATTTATACGGTAAGTGACGCGTCGCGATGGAAAACAGCCGCAAGGGAGAAACGTTTTTCATTTGTATTTCCCACACGAATGCACCCGATCGAACTGAAAGTGACATAATATTCCGCGCGGATGAAGCGTATTACGCGCTCCCTCTAATTACGACTCGGCGAATAAGTTGGTGCTTCCAATCGCGAGTCGGAGACGCTTGTTGGATTATGCAAGAACAGCGTCCGATGACCGAGCCGATCCCACATATACTTACCTCCAGACTCCGATAATTGGGGTACTAAAATACACTCCGCGGATCGAACTAATGGAGCTCGTTATTATATGTACTTCGGAAAGGGAAGTATATATTTTTGACAGTAAAAGGAAATGGGCTAAATGTGCGTTGAATAATTCGTGTTTGAAAATAAACTTTATTGCATGCAGATGATTTATTTGGAAACAGCACTCTGAAATACATTGTTTATGAATATACACAGTAGTCTGTAGATTCAAAGACATATGTGTGGAAGAAATCAGTTGATGCTCGTGTTGAAAAAAATGCCGTATTTTCAAATACAGTGTCTAAGTACCATAGCGACTGGTCAATAGTATTTAAATATTAAACACGTGCCCATCCTCGTGCTGTCAGTGTCGCATATCACTACCACAAAAACCGTGGAAAATTTCTCTCAAAAGCCCTTTCAGCTGAATGGTATTATTTTTACCCCGCGCGCGATTTAACTCGCAAAGGACATGTATTCATCTTTGGATCCTGAAAGAAATTTAATTACTCGGTACATGTTCTCTCTGCGCTTCGAATTTCCATTTATACGCACGAGTGGACCTCGTTTCGCTTAACACGCGTGAAAAGTACCGAAGGACTGGTGTTTTGGTGCAATGATTTTTTCGTGGCCCTCTGGTGTGTACGCGAGGATACGTAAAATCGTGTCAGGGCCTCCTTCCTCCTTTGCTCCGGCTCGGAATGACTTTTAAGGCGTTGCTAACGTTTTTCTGGAAGTCTTTTGCGGAAAAGTGTCGTTTGCTCAACTAACTCAAGGTTTTCGAAGGCCATTTCCTGGATTCATGGTGTCATACTTTTATTGGCTTTCAATCTCACTGTTTGATCACTTTGCGACACGTGCGAGATTTGTTTTTTTTTTTTTTTTTTTTTTTCTTTCGAGCACTAGTATGTGGCACAACGAGAACTTTACTCTTCCCCATGTGCTTTCATTGCATCTGCGTTTAATGTTACAACTTATACTGGAAATACACGAGTTATACAAATATAAACCACAGCAATTATTCAAATTGGTGGAAATAGCGGAGTAGGTGACGAATCATAAATTTGGTTATTCACATACCACCCATAGAGCGATTGATTGAATGAAAACAGAAATTTCAACTACGCGCTTTGAACGTATTATCTTGACGAAATTAAATTCATATTGTATATACCCATTGCGGGCTATACGAATATGGGACACGGGTAAAAGTGCGAAACAACATGAAAAATAAAAAACCTCTGCGTAATCGTCCTATGGTTTATTTATCCATTAGAAGAAGTTATGATCGTCGTGATCGACGTGAGATTTTTTCGTCCCAAACTCGTATTCTCCGATTTGAACGGGATTTTTTCCTCTCTGAGGTTTTATGCGTATAGTCATCATGACCATTGTCACATCTTTTTCGTCACCGGACGTACCTAAACTTATTGAAATAACTTGATTTTCATGCACATTTTTAGGTTGTATTTTTCGGACCAATCTTATATCCGCATACCATGCAGTTATGGTTACGATAGTTCAATTTTTCAATTTGCGTTGAACTTGGTCGTTTAAGAGTCTCAATTAGATAAAAAAAAAAAAAAAAAAAAAAAAATTGTAGATACGTATAAGTAACGCTCAAACACTTGAGCCCGCAGAAGCCGGTGCGCAGGAGTGGGTCCGAGGAGCAAAAGCAGAGGAAGAAAAAAAGGAAGAATGAGCCTGATGTACCGGGAGCGGGAGAGCGTGTCGTTCGCGTCGCAGGTGCCGAGCGACGAGGAGGATGTGCGGGGCTCGAGGTGAAGCGTCGCCAGCCGGCGGAGAAGCGGCGGCATCCCGACGCCGCCGCCAGCAGCAGTCAGCCTGGAGCACCGGGGGGCTGATCTTCTGTTCTCGACGCCGGCCAAGGCCATCGGCGGCCCGGCCAAGGTCGCCTCGGTCACCGAGGCCTTCGAGCAACAACAGCAGAGGCCGGCCAGCTGCCACGACCGCTCCCACCATGACAAGTTCGCCAGCCTGTCCAACACCGCCATGTCCTGGGACTCCATCAGCTCCAAGGACTACATCGGGTGAGTCCGTCTGACCCAACGTTTACTCGTACTACTTGCATCCGTGACACACCCCACCCCTCGCTTCCGGAACACGCGTTAACCATAGAGCACGTGAAATGAATTCATCCGAGACGCGTTTGAAAAAACAAAATGGATTATTTCTCGATCGAAAGAGACTACACAGCCATTTGATTTGCAGCAATAACGCAATTGGTCGAACAAGTGGACCCCCACGTAGTATAGTCTGCATTTCGCTCGAAAAGCTCAAAGCGCGCTGTGTTGCGTTTGGATAACATCGGCAAACGAGCGCGAGCCCCACCCTATAGATCGACGGAAAATAGCGCGCGAAATGTCATTATTGAAGTAAAATGTATGGTTGGCGGGAAAAGAGTGGCTCATTGTTGATGGTCCTCAGGCACCAGCTGTCGGCGACCGCGCTGCTGGGCAGCCCGGACGGCTCGAGGCACCCGATCGACGTGTACGAGTTCTCGGAGGAGGACTACCGCAGGCAGTTCGACCACGGCTACGACAACGGGGGCAGCTTCAGCCTCGGGGTCTGGGAGTGCCTCAAGGGCTGCCGGCACCGGATAGACCAGCACCTCGCCAGGCGGAAGGTGAGCTCTAATGAAAACAAACGGGGCACAGCTCCAATTAGCGGAGCAATTAGCACCGATCGCGTATTTGTGGAAATATCGACGCGCGTTATTGCCCCGAGGAATCTCTTCGAACCACAGCTTGAGTGCGGGCGTGATTTCTTGGGTCACGAGAGGGGGAAAAAAGCACACGTCTTCCGCAAGAGCAGCGGAGCGCGAGAGGCTGTCCGGAGCAGGGGGGAGCTCTCTCATTGAGCGCAACAAACGGCTTTGCCGTTTTTCAGCCCCGCCTCTTCCAGCCGGAGAAATTGATCCGTCCGCCGCTGGAATTCGGTCAAACGTGGAAAAGCTAACGCGCGCGAAAGGTGGCAAATCGAGCGCGAGAAAATGGAACAAATCGAGCAGAATCGCTGCCGAAGCTCGGCGAAAACTACTCGAGTCTTTCCCACTCGAGAAGCTATACGCTTCTTTTTTTTTTTTTCTCCCTCGCTCGCGCGCACTTTGTTTTCTCCGACAATAGAGCTGTGATTACTTCTCACCCTCCTTATCTGTGACAATATTTTGCCTTTCCTACGTGACATCGCACACATGTACATTTTCCTCTCAATATCGCACGTAAGAGCACCGAGTTTGACATTCAATTTTTCCCTCCGTATATGCGTGTTCCCTCGTTAACGCGCGTGGCATTGTAAATTACCGATCAATTAACCAACCCAACGAAACTAGCGTATACATACACATTTGAGCCGAGCTCTCGCGATAATGAGCTGTTGTATATGTACACACTGCATTCGATTACCCGTCCGTCCAAACGATCGTTGTGTAAATTAACCCAGCCCTTTGCCCGCAGGGCGTTCGCATGACGAGTGTCGTTTGCTCTCCCGCTGGAGTGGATAAAAGGGCCCCGTTGAGATAGGCCGACAACGCCCATCCCCCGATCAAACGTCAGCCGTTTCCCGGATGTATATTGTATGTACGTAAATATACATATATACGTGCATACGGTAACAACTTTGCGCCCATACGAGCATTCCGTGACGTGCAACACTCGGGGAGTGATATACACCTAAAAGGTAAAAGCTCGGACAAAACCGCACGCGCGCCGCAGGAGCGAGGAGGAGTTCAGGGCCGAATCGATACGGCCTTGTCTGCCTCGTATGTTCCTCCACCTCCCCCCCCCCTCTACACGATCGAGGGTGTGTGTGTGTGTGGTACAGTCACCATGGCCAATACCGTGACCCCCTTGCAAAACCCGAGGCCGAATATAATATATATGCTCTGGCGGTATAAGAGGCTTTTTGGAATGGAAAAGCGGGTGGGAGGTATATATATATACACAGTCGTTGCTCGCTCTAATTTGCGCTTGTCTCTAATTGTTTTGAACGGTGCTCTCTGCCCCCTCCGCGCTCGTTGTACGAAATTGCCTGCTTGACTTTTCTTTTTTTTTTCTCTCGGGGCCAGCGTCAATTAGGGCTCTGCCTTTGCTTCCTACTCCCCCCCCCTCGCGCGTTTTATTGTAAGTATACTGTTTTCGGTTTAAAGTTACTTGACAAAGGTACTTTGGGTTCAGCTTTTTTTTTTTTTTTTTCATAATTTCCTTGCAAGTCTACGTAGATGCGCAACAATTGCAAGGTTCAATCGGTGATTACACGAGAAGGCGAGTGCCAACGGCGAGTCATATTTTTCCACGACTTTTCCTCCCGATCGCGGAGGGAACTTCTGTAAACTTGGCGCCGAGTAATCAGTCGATCGGGACGTTCAAATATTGGCTTCCTCCCTGTACTTCCGAGAGCAACACATCCTCGTGCAGCGCGCATGTGGGTGTAGGGGAGTCGGGCTCCGTTTGCCCCGGGGGCGTGTATACCTATACGTCCCGAGATTCTATCTGTCGATTTTGCTCCTCCTCTCACAGGTGAGCGGAGTAAAAAGCGTCCGGCCGGAGGGTCTCGAGTGAATCGATAGTGGTTGTTGTCGGGAAAGTTGAGTTTGTTGCACCGATGAGTCGTTGTGTGGTGGTGGGGGGGTTAACACGCGTGAAAAGTACCG